ACCGAATGATTCTGAACTGAAAAGAAGAGTTCTGCAAGAGGGCCATAATTCAAAATTGTCTATCCATCCAGGAAATATGAAAATGTATCAAGACTTGAAATTGAATTTCTGGTGGCCGGGAATGAAGAAGGAAATTGCTAATTTTGTATCAAAATGTCTTCATTGCCAACAAGTTAAAGCCGAACATGAACAACCCGCAGGCTTACTGCAGCCCTTACTTATACCGGAGTGGAAATGGGAACATATCACCATGGATTTCATTGTTGGTTTACCTCGCTCCAGTAAAGGTATGGACTCAATTTGAGTTATTATTGATAGACTGACTAAATTTGCTCACTTCTTACCTGTCAAAACAATTTATAATGCGGACAAATTGGCTATACTCTATATTGATGAGATTGTTAGACTGCATGGAGTACTTGTGTCCATTGTTTCTGATAGGGACTCGAAGTTTACATTGAGATTTTGGCAAAGCCTATAGACTGCATTGGGTACTGAACTGAGATTGAGTAGTGCATATCATCCTCAGACAGATGGCCAATCAAAAAGGACTATCCAGACTCTAGAGGATTTACTGCGGATGTGTGTTCTTGATTTCCAGGGAAATTGGGAAAGTCATCTACTGTTAGCTGAATTTGCCTACAACAACAGCTTCCATTCAAGTATTGGTATGGCGCCTTTTGAGGCATTATACGGCAGAAAATGTAGATCTCCGATTTGTTGGGCAGAAGTTGGAAATGGGCCTTTGCTTGGGCCCGAGATTGTCTATGAAACTACTGAGAAAGTAAAACTGATACAACAGAAACTGAAAACCGCAAAAAGCCGACAAAAAAGTTATGTGGATGTCGGAAGGCGAAACAGAGAGTATGAAGTAGGTGATCACGTTTTTGTGAAAGTGACACCGATGAAAGGCCAGACTCGTTTTCGAGTCAAAGGCAAGTTAGAGCCGAGATATGTCAGACCGTATGAAATTATTGAGAAAATCAATCCGGTAGCGTATCAAGTAGCGCTTCTTCCTGAAATGGAGCATATGCATAACGTGTTCCACATTTCTATGTTGAGGGACAACCTTCGGGATCCTTTTCATGTGATAGAACCGACCCGTATAGTGCTAAGTGATGACTACACTTACGAGGAACGACCCGTTCAGATTGTAAACAGACGGATCAAGAAGTTGAGAAACAAAGAGATCCTGTTAGTGAAAGTTGACTGGCAAAACCATGGTGGCGTGTATGCCACTTGGGAAAGGGAAGATGACATGGCCAAGAGATATCCTGACTTGTTTCCACTGAATCCTATTTTCTTCCAGAATGAAGGTAATTCAAGTTTGGAGGACCAAACTCTTTTTAAGGAGGGAAAACTGTAATAACCCTCACCACTGATTACTGATAACCCTACTGATTACTACTAAACTGTGACTGATTATGATAAGTAATTGAATCGACTGAACCACTGAACTGACTGATTGAACGTCCTAGTTTAAATGCATGTCTATCTGTTTGACTGTTTAATTATCTGTGAATGTTTTATGTTTAAACTGCAAATTGAAGGCCTTATCGGCGGCCGAATCTGAAATGGATTAGTGATATGTGTTAATCGTAATTTATGTGATTTTATGGCATATTTATCTGAATTGTGATTTGGTATGATTAAATTAGATTAACATAAGCTAAATTACATAGGTTGCCCTATTTACCATATTGCCACCCTAGTGGCCCACTACCTAACACATTTGAGCCTTGCACTTGATCACATAACATTTTCATCAGCCATTTTAAGAAGTAAGAACCGGCTAGAGTGAGAGAAATAGGAGAATTGTGGAATCAACTAGGAGATTGGCTTGAAGAACTTGAAGAATTGAAGTATAGATTGCAAATTGAGCTCCTAGACCTTGAATACAAGACTTAAGGTAGAACATCCGCCTTCTTGAACTTGTTTTTGAATTGATTCATGCATGGTTCTTGTGTCCTTAGTGATCTAAGCCTAGATTGAGCCTTATAATGTTGAATTGAAGCTTAATCTTTGCATGCATGGCATACTCTTGCATCTTGAGGTTGTTCTTCATAAATTTGCCACATGCATGTTCATATCTTGAGTGGAGACTATGAATTCATCTCGTTTTGAAAAGAATTGGCTCAGTTGAGCTAGCATTTGAAGCTTTGAAGTGTTTAAATTCATGCATGTACATGTTTATCACGTTCTTGAAAGTTTGGTTTGAAATTGAGTTTAATTGAACTACCTTTGGGCTTTAATTTCTCAAATTGACCTTTGAAACATGTTATGTTATGAGTTTTGAAGTGTTTTCCAGAAAATTAGCCCAAAAGGATCGAATTTGGTACATTAAAATTTAGTTTTGAGCTTAAGGTTCGAATCTGGAAATTCCAGATTTTGGACTCACGCTCGAGCGTGAAATTCGTGCACCCAGCACTTTGCACTGTTTTACAGTCCGCTCGAGCGGAGTCTTGGACGCTCGAGCGAGGACTTGTGTCACACGCTCGAGCGGGTATCGAGCGCCCAATCGAGCGTGATTTTCACACATCCAGTACTTTTTCAGTACGCTCAAGCGGGGAATCCCAGGCTCGAGCGAGACCCCTATTTTCTGAAAATTTTGAAAATGCTTTTCAAGTGCATCTTTGCATCCTCATTTCATCCTAGGCATTCCTAGGTCTAGTTTAAGGTATCTTAATGAGGATATAGATGTAGAACCACACCGAGGCAATTAGGGATTAAGTTATTATTTTTCCAACTGTATAGCTTAGTGTGTGTTCACTCTGTAACTGTGTAGGGTTGGCATCTGAGAACGCGCTCTAGCTTAACTGTAGCCCAGAACTCTGTGAGTAGCAACTTTGTAAAGATATGTTCACATATGAATATCTTTTGAATGGTTAAACTGCACTGTTTCTGAATTGATATTGTTAACTGAATGAATGTATGTCCTCTATTCTGAACTGTATTGTGGCATCCATAGCAACTACTGTTACTGTTACTGCTACTGTTACAGAGATCTCTGTCGGTTCCCATGTTTGGAACCATTACTGATGGCCATCATTGATTGTTCGGTCTTTCAAGACCTACTGTTTACTGTACTGTTCTGCTATTGGATGTACCACATATGACTGTTATGACTGAATGACTGATATACTGAATCAATTGACTGTTTTCAATACTGAAAGGACATTCATTCTTAACCTCTTTATGCATTATGTTAATCACTGGGCTTTAGCTCACTGCTCATATATATATATATATATATATATATGTAGGTGTACAGGCACCGGACCGTTGCTAGAAGCGTCGGGATAAACTCCAGTTTTGTCAAGCCAACCTATGTGCCTCACTGCGAGGTTCCAAGCCTGTCAAGCCAAGGCTATGGGGTGTTTTAGTTTCCCCCCATTCTGCTCTGTTTTTGTATAGACTGTATACACTGTTACTGTACTGTTTTAATAGGGATTTAGTCCCTGTCCTGAACGATTGTAAATGTTATACATACTGTTTTGCACTAATTGTATATATGTATGAAAAGTCTTTTTGCATACAGACTGTCACAGCTCATTGGACATATTTTAATTATTGTATTGGCTTCCGCCAGCCCCTGTACTCTGTATTATTGTTTGACTGTTAAGCAGGCCTTTGGTAATCTCGAATTACTGGTCGGTTACGGTACTAAACCCATAGGGGCGGGTTTGGGTCGTGACACTTGTAAAAGTAAAGTCCATACTGAATTTGTAGAGTTTAAGGCCTATGTAGAGAAGCAATTTCACATATCCTTGAAATGTTATTTCATGCTTTACCAAATTATTTTCAATTCAGAGTTTTTGGTTGCCAATGCTTCTCTTAGCTCAAACCATATGTCTCTCATAAACTGTAGCCCAATTCCATTTCTTGTGTGTTTCTTGGTTACCATCTATTTGCCAAAAGCTATCGCTGTCATGATCCTCTTAAAGGTAAAACTTATTTGTCTCGTCATGTGGTTTTTAATGAGTCTAACTTTCATTATGCTTCTCTTCCCTCTTTCTTTACTTCTTTATCTATTTCTTTACCTCAGTTACAAAAAAATTTCTGGTCTTCTTCTTCTTGTTTACCTTCATCTCTGGTTCACCCTAGTGCTTCTCCGTCTTTTACTCCTTCTCGAGTGGCTTTATCTTCCTCATCTTCTCACTTTAGTGTTTCTGCTACACCACACTCTATTCCTAAACCTCCTCACTCTATTCCTATTCAGTCAATTTCTATTCAGCTTCCTCTTTTCTTGCCTCCTCCTTCTACAAATACTCATCTTATGCTCACCAAATCTAAAACAATCCCTACTTGTCTGTCTACTCAACATTCCTCTTCTTCTTCTCTCTGTACTGATTTTAAACCACCCTCTCATAAAGAAGCCATTCTCTCTCCTATTTGGTCTACTGCTATGTCTAAGGAATATGCTGCTTTACAACACCAGAAAACCTGGACTCTTGTTTCTTTGCCACCTCACAAGCATGTCATCAGTTGTAAATGGGGTTTTAAAATGAAAAGGAATTATGATGGTACTATCGCTTGGCACAAGGCACGTCTAGTAGTTAAGGGATATCTTTAACAAGAAGGCATTGATTTTCAAAAGACCTTTAGCCTAGGTGCCAAAACAGCCCACCATTCACATTTTATTTTGTCTTGTCCTTCATCATCATTGGCCGATTCGACAGCTTGATATTTCCAATGCTTTTCTATATGGGGTCCTTGAGAAAGAGGTTTACATGTTACAACCACCTAGTTTTGAGCAGTATTATTCTCCACTCCAAGTGTGCAAGCTTCACAAAGCTTTGTATGGCTTAAAACAGGCTCCCCGTGCTTGGTATTCCACAATTTCAACATTTCTTCTCTCCTAAGGCTTTCGTAATAGCAAATGTGATACATCTCTCTTCATTCAGCAAACTGCCACCTCCTTTACTATCCTGTTAATCTATGTAGATGATATTTTGCTTACAGGCAACAATTCATCTCATATTTAGCCCCTTATTACTCAGATGAATCATGCATTCTCTATGAAGGAATTATGGAACATTGCCTACTTTCTTGGCATTTCAGTCCAATCCACTGGTGATTCTGACTGCTTTGTTTCCCAACATCAGTATGGTCAAGATATTCTTACCAAAGCTGGCATGGCTGATTGCAAGCCTTGTGCCTCTCATATTGCTGTCAAACCTTCTCTTCCTCCTACTGCTGATTTGCCCTTTGATAATCCTTCTCTATATCGCAGTATTGTTGGAGCTTTGCAATACCGTACCATCACGTACCCAGATTTTTCTTTACTTTTGGCCATTTTTCATCTATTAAACACTTACTGAGATATGTTCAGGGCACCATTGCTCATGGTTTGACATATCAACCTAGCACTTTTGATCTTCATGCTTTTTTCGACTCCAATTGGGCAGGGGATGTGATTAATAGGAAGTCCACCTCTGGATATTGCATATTTTTGGGTTCCAATCTTATCTCTTGGTCTCCTAAAAAGCAGGCCACTGTGTCTCGCTCCTCTACCGAAGTAGAGTATCGAGCACTGGCTCATGTTGTTGCCGAATTGACTTGGGTTAAAATGTTTCTTCAGGATTTGGCTATTTCATCCCCTACTCTACCTATTTTGTGGTGTGACAATGTCTCCTCTATTGCTCTTGCTTCCAATTCCGTGTTTCATTCTCGTTCCAAACATATCAAGGTGGATTGTCACTTTGTCAGAGATAAAGTACTTGCTAAACAACTAACTTTGCAATATATTCCTACTCAAGATCAGTTGGCTGATATATTTACAAAACCTTTATCTGTGGCTTGTTTTTTGTATCTCAAGTCCAAGCTAATGGAGTTCACGCACCCCATCAGCTTGCAAGGGCATGTTGAGAATACTACAGCTTCCACATTTAAGAATACTACAATTTCCAAACTTAGCTCAGAAGTTACAGCTTCCAAACTCAACTTAGAAGCTCAGTCAATGGCTCAGCCAGTTCCCTTAATAGATATTGCAGTCGCGTCCACATCATCTTAGTTGGTTACAAAGTCAATTAGCTTAGGAGTTGGCTAGTGTGTATGTAACTAGTGTATCAGTAGTTTGTTATAACAAACTCCCAACTGATATATATATAACTGTAATCTGAAAAAGTATATTCATTGAATAAGAATTCTTTCTTGAAATCTCAATTTCGTCAGGCTCTACCATGTTCTATTGAAGTTGTACTACGATGGTAGGATTGAGAAAGACTTAATAGAAAAGAAAAAATGTTATGGAAAGTCATACCTCTAGCTGTCTTTTGGTCATTGTGAAAACTTAGAAATGAATGTGTTTTTCAAGCAGCTACACCTAAGTTGGAGGATTTGCGTGTCCTGATCAAGATAAGAGTTTATTTGTGGTTGAATCAAAGATACAAGGAGTTTCACTTCACAGTGTAGGATTTCTTGAACAATTTGAGGCAAATCAGATGCTGTTTTGGGAGTAAAATTGTCCTAGGTTGATATAGTACTCATTGTTGCTATGTGCATTTCTCTTGTATTTGTTATGTCTATGTTGTGCTCATCTGCTGGTGTAAATTTTGGTTTTTGGGTTGGTGTCTTACCAACTGTATGTGGTGTTAGCAAATGAATGGGCAAGCTTCTCAATGCCAACATAGTTAGGATTAAGTCGCTTGTTATGATATTTTTTGCACCCTCACTCGTTATTGATAATTGTCATTGTATTATTGTTTGATCATTATCATTAAAGTGTCTTTTTGGCTATTTCAAAAAAACAAAAACAAAAACAAAAACAAAAACAAAAAAAAGGTAGTTTTAGTATTATAGCAAAATAATATTTATTTAGTTTTTTTGCACTCCCAATCTCTCCACTTTTGTAGATATTCAAAATAGGACTATGAGATAAATTAGTTTCTCTAAATTTCTTTTCATTTCACTTTATTTCTCTCTTTTTTCGCTTATACAAACGAGTAATATGAATTAAGAGAAATGCAATTTTTCTATTTTCTTCCCAAATCACTCAATCTAAACCGGCTGTCAGAGAGATTTTGAAGATTGGAATGAGATGAGGGAGTAACAAAATATGAGATGTAAGGGTTAACAATTTATGCACACATACAGGGTATTAACAAGGTATTTGAATGTTTATGATAAATAACAAATTACACGTATATTTAGACGATGCAATTTAATTTTAAATTAAAATTATAACTATAAAATGATACGCCTAAACATTATATAAAATTCACCTATTTTAAAAATTAAGACCAAACTATGCATTGCGAATAGCAATCACATCATATCATTTAATATGGATGAGGCTGGTCAGTAGGATCTAGTAGTCAACATATGACCAAAATCTAACTTATGCCCCAACATTCCTGGGATTGACACGCAAAGATATGAAATGGACTAGGAAGACATATCCAATAAATAACAAAAACTAGCAAAGAATTTATATCTATACGCAGTATGTATTTAATTATTTATTTATTATTACTATTATTTGGATCTGGCACAGAGAATTATATTGACGAAAAACCTATGAGTAAAAAGATGGATACGTCACAGATAAATCAATACCAAACCTAAAAGAAATGCAGCTAATCTCTTCCAAACTAAACTGATAAGAGCACCCATTAAAGCGATGGTGATTATTGAGTACTCATGGGGACGATCATGTGGTATTTCATAAGTGTGACAATGTCTCCTCCATTGCTCTTGCTTCCAATCCCGTGTTTCATTCTCGTTCCAAACATATTGAGGTGGACTGCCACTTTGTCAGAGATGAAGTACTTGCTAAACAACTAACTTTGCAATATATTCCTACTCAAGATCAGTCGGCTGATATATTTACAAAACCTTTATATGTCGCTTGTTTTTTGTATATCAAGTCCAAGCTAATGGAGTTCACGCACCCCATCAGCTTGCAGGGGCATGTTAAGAATACTACAGCTTCCACAGTTGAGAATACTACAATTTCCAAACTCAGCTCAGAAGTTACAGCTTCCAAACTCAACTCAGAAGCTCAGTTAATGGCTCAGCCAGTCTCATTAACAGATATTGCAGTCGCATCCACATCATCTCAGTTGGTTACAAAGTCAGTTAGCTTAGGAGTTGGCTAGTGTGTATGTAACTACTGTATTAGTAGTTTGTTATAACAAACTCCCAACTGATATATATATATATATATATAACTGTAATCTGAAAAAGTATATTCATTGAATAAGAATTCTTTCTTGAAATCTCAATTTCGTCAAGCTCTACCATGTTCTATTGAAGTTGTACTACGATGGTAGGAATGAGAAAGACTTAATAGAAAAGAAAAAATGTTATGGAAAGTCATACCTCTAGCTGTCTTTTGGTCATTGTGAAAACTTAGAAATGAATGTGTTTTTCAAGCAGCTACACCTAAGTTGGAGGATTTGCGTGTCTTGATTAAGATAAGAGTTTATTTGTGGTTGAATCAAAGCTACAAGGAGTTTCACTTCACAATGCAGGATTTCTTGAGCAATTTGAGGCAAATCAGATGCTGTTTTGGGAGTAAAATTGTCCTGGGTTGATATAGTACTCATTGTTGCTATGTGCATTTCTCTTGTATTTGTTATGTCTGTGTTGTGCTCATCTACCGGTGTAAATTTTGGTATTTGGGTTGGTGTCTTACCAATTGTATGTGGTGCTAGCAAATGAATGGGTAGGCTTCTCAATACCAACATAGTTGGGATCAAATCGTTTTGTTATGATATTTTTTGCACCCTCACTCGTTATTGATAATTGTCATTGTATTATTGTTTGATCATTATCATTAAAGTGTCTTTTTGGCTATTTCAAAAAAACAAAAACAAAAACAAAAACAAAAACAAAAACAAAAACAAAAACAAAAACAAAAACAAAAACAAAAACAAAAACAAAAACAAAAACAAAAACAAAAACAAAAACAAAAACAAAAACAAAAACAAAAACAAAAACAAAAACAAAAACAAAAACAAAAACAAAAACAAAAACAAAAACAAAAACAAAAACAAAAACAAAAA